TTCTTTTCTCAGATTCAGCTGAAGGTTGGCGTTGTCCTGCCTGCCAGAATGTGACACTCAAACATCCCTCTGCATACACCTGCTTCTGTGGTACAGAATATTTCTGGTTCTGCATATAATTAGGGCATCACAAATAAAAAATAGTCATCAACAACTTTTTTTCAGGTAAAGTAACAAATCCAGAGTGGCAGCGCAGTGAGATTCCCCACAGCTGTGGCGACATGTGTGGGAAGAAAAGGAGTGGAGAAGACTGCAGGCATCCCTGTAACATGTGAGCCTGCAAAGCCAAAACATCCAGACTATTTACACTTTTGAACATGCCGTCACACATTATCACCCAGATATTTGTTCTCTTGAATTAATTTATTGGTACATGTTTATGGTAAACCCAGGCAAGATATATTTTGAGTTGCTTAGGCCTTTTTTTCACAGTTTCCTCTCTCATTTCTTAGCCTGTGTCATCCTGGACCATGCCCCCAGTGTCCTGCTTTTGTGACTAAATCCTGCGTTTGTGGAAAGACCAGGTATTTTAAGTATTTGTCGCATATTCTTGTTGTACTGTGTGAGACAATAACACCCTAATATTCTTCTTTTCAGTCAGCCTGTACGCTGTGGCCAGGCATCTGTGTTACACTGTGACAGTGTGTGTGGCTCACTGCTCAACTGTGGAAAACACAGCTGTGCCCAGGTCTGCCACAGCGGGGCATGTGAGCCCTGCCAGATACAAGTGGACCAAGGTACACTGACCACTGTATATTCAAATGAATGTTTTATAGAACATGTGACACACAAACTGACATTTAGTTTTTTTCCTTTTAGTTTGTTACTGTGGTGCTGGCACTCGTAAAGTCTCGTGTGGCACAGATGAACAATGCTTTGATGGTACAGGGCATTTCTCCTGTCAAAAAGTATGCTCAAAGTAAGTCAGATTTGCTTTTTACAATCACTCTTTAAGATAACTGATATTACATATCACACTTTGCGCACATACTTTGCGCACATACTTTGCGCACAAACTTTGCGCACAAACTTTGCGTACATACTTTGCGTACACACTTTGTGTTTCTACTTCTAGGATGTTGGATTGCACAGCCCACCACTGCCAGCAGGTGTGCCATCGTGGACAGTGCCAGTCCTGCCCTCTCTCTCCCAGCCGGGTCAAGTCATGTCCCTGCGGTCAGACACCACTGAACAAGCTCTTAGAGTTTGGCTACTCAGAACGAAAGCACTGCACTGATCCAGTCCCCTCATGTGGAAAAACATGCAACAAGCCTCTAGCCTGTGGTTCCAATGGTGGGGTGGCCTTCAGTCACACAGATTCAATAATATGTATGAATGTGTCTCTGCCACCACTCTCTGATACTTACACAGAACACTCTATGTTCCCTTAGATATGATCCATTTGTGTGAAAAGCTATGCCATGAAGGAAGCTGTGGACCTTGCTCTTTGACTTCCTCTGTTAGATGCAGATGTGGTGCCAAACTTAAGGTACAAAAATGAATTATTAACTAATCATGCAATACATGTTTATAATGTTTACTATAATGTCCTTTTCAAATCTAGGAAGTCCCATGTTTAACAATCTTCAAAGAAGGTAAGATTATATCAGATAATCTGACTCCAACACTCTTTAACTCACTGATATTTCATGTTGTGTTCATTTTGACTTGCAGACCAGCTTGTGTTCACCTGTGAAAAGCGCTGCAACAAGAAACGCTCCTGTGGTCGACATAAGTGTGGAGAACTTTGCTGTGTGGTGGGTTCTTCTTGAATATGTGTATTATATGTGTGGGATGAACTTCATTAAGGCTTTGGGTTTCATCTGTCTTCCCAGGCTGTAGAGCACAAGTGCCCCTTGATTTGTGGCTACAAGCTGAACTGTGGCCTCCATCGCTGCCAGGAGCCCTGTCACCGTGGAAATTGTGAACCCTGCTGGCAGTCCAGTGAGGGCCATATACCATTTACTGTTCAAGGTCTTGTTGGGTAGAAACACTCTAAAGTTACATGTGCATTTACGCTTTTAGGTTTTGATGAGCTGACCTGCCACTGTGGGCTCACTGTCTTGTATCCCCCAATTCCATGTGGTACAAAGCCTCCAGAATGTAAGAACACCTGTACCCGGAGGCATGACTGTGACCATCCCGGTGAGACAAGACTGTAGCCCTGTGTGTTAGAGCTTTGTTGGCTTAGTTTCTAATATTTACTTTTTAATGTATTAGTATTTCACAACTGCCACAGTGAAGACAAGTGTCCGCCTTGTACATACCTCACTCAGAAGTGGTGTATGGGAAATCATGAGGTATCTACGGCTAATCTGTAAAAGCATGCATTTTCCTTGCCATTCAAAGAACTGATTAAATTGTGTGTTTTACCCTTAGCAACGCAGCAACATACCGTGCCACCTCCAGGACATTTCCTGTGGCCTGACATGTAACAAGGAGCTGCCCTGTGAAATGCACCAGTGTCGGCGTATTTGCCATCGTGGCGAGTGTTTGGCTGAGGGCACGTGCCAGCAGCCCTGTGTGCGCCCGCGTACCGACTGTGGCCACCCATGTGCTGCTCCCTGCCATAAAGGCAGCAGCTGCCCGCACACCACCTGCACTGCCAAGGTACAGGTCGGCCACACGCCAGCCAGAAATAATCTGCACATTTAAACAGATGTTACACACCAGCTCAAATCTCAGGGAGGCATATGAATACTTTTCCATCTGCAGTTGTCTTTAACGTCATCAGTTATTCATGATGTAAACAGCTCCTAAAGAGAGCAGGGGAACATAAATCTGTGTGATTTGTTGCATTTTACAAAGACAGAATGTTTTGTTAAATATTCCAGATGCTCAGTCTAACTCTTTGGAGGAACCAGCTGTTCATAGGTCTTGACAGTGTTTGTACAGAATGAAGTTAAAGTGTAAATCCAGATATGAAAAGTATGATCTTTTATTGCTGTTCCTACCTGTTCCAGGTGTCTCTGCAGTGTGACTGTGGCCGGAGAAAAGAAACAGTTGTGTGTGCAGAAGCTGCCAGTTCATATCAGAGGTCAGTTGGACTGAATGGAGCAAGCGGTCTCTGTTATAACCTGATATATTCTGTGCTTTTCTTTCACTGTAGATATGCAGCCATCGCTGTGGCCAGTAAGCTCTCTGACATGCAGCTTGGGGACTCTATGGACTTGGGGCCATTACTCACTAAAAAGGAGATGAAGCAAACCAAGTATGTTTCTAGTCCATAATTTATCCATTTAAATGTAGGTTCTGACCATTGACATTTGAATGTCTGTTATTTTAGGCTTGAATGTGATGAAGAATGTGCTACACTGGAGAGAAACCGGCGCTTGGCAGAAGCTTTACAGATAGACCCCTCTTCAGACCCATTTAATGTGCGCTCCACCTCTGTGTATAGCGACAGCCTCAAGGAGGACGCCAGGTCTGTAGCTTTGTCTATTGTGTAATTATTGTTATACCTCCACTTATATTTGATTTGTTTCCATTAGGAAAGATCTAAATTTTGTTACCAAAGTTGAAGATGAAATTAAGAACTTGATAGAGATAACTAATAAGGTAGGTAAAATTCACTGAATTTCGGGGTTAATGACAAAAACAACTTTGTGATGAAGTGCTCCCCCTGCTGGCTGTCTATAAAAACTGCAATGGGCAAATTAAATATTTTATTAGTAGCTCTACCTAAACTGTTAAATTTGCACCATGAGAAAATGGCTCAAAGTTAGTTCAGTTACATTTCCAATAAGCCACAACATGCATTTATGTGTGACTTGATCATAGTTAGCTCACTAGTTATATGGGCGTGCTAATATATAGCACCATCTATTCTTGTATGTTCTGACCTAGTTGTTGTATGTTTGGCTATTTTTGAGTGCAGCCAGCTCCCGTGAACCTCTACAATAAAGCCAGCAGTGTGAGCTTGTAGTTTTCAAACGAAGGGAGAGCAAAACCTCTTCTCAAACTATTCTTAAGTGAGACTTAATTAGTAGTTTCTTCATAGGTCCAGGAAAAAATAGTCACATTTTTGTATGTTTTGACATGAGTGCTCTGTTAAGGTCATGTACAATTTGGATCAACTAGATTCATACAGTAGTTAACTGTTTTTAAACTGAAGAGTTTTGGACTTTATAGCAAAAAATTTAAACCATGTATAATTTTTACAGTCTGTATTGCTATAAATGAACTAATGCTTGATTATTTAATCTTTAGGGAAAGCAAGCCAAAAGAACTTACACCTTTCAGCCAATGAACAGAGACCATCGTCGGATCATCCATGAACTGGCAGAGGTGTACAAGCTGGAGAGCATCAGCTATGACAGTGAGCCCAAGCGTAGTGTCAGTGTCACCGCTCAAAAGTAGGACTAACTAGATTCTTACTTACATTGATTATAAACACTATGTCAAATGTAGTACATTTGGAAATCTATATTTACTTTAGGGGGGTGGCTGTGTGTCCAAACTCATCCCTGTCATCAATCATCAAACGGGAGACCGCAGCCAGAGCTCCTCCTCCAATAGCTCACATCAAACAGCACAGCAGCAAGTACGTTTTGTGGTTGAAAAAAGGATCATTTTATGTTTTTGTAATGTAAAACTTTTTTTTTTTTAGGCCAGTTGGCGGAGTTGCCTTTTCCAAGATGGTTAGAGAAGAACCTGTAATTGATTATTTTGATGTCCAAGACTGACGAAGATGACCTTTCAAAGAACCCAGTAAATGAGTAATAATAATAATAATAATAATAAACGTTCACCAAAATGGACAAATGTAGATGCTGCTGTGTGATCTAATAAAACTATAGTTTATTTCTACACATTGCCTCTTTGTTTTTTAATGTCAGATATTAAAATCTGTGCATGCAGTCTTTGAATGTAATAGACTTCTTAGTGGGTAGTCCCTTATTGCAGTAAATGCAGTAAAAGAATAGTAAATTCTGAACTGGACTGTGAACAATAAAACTTAAACTAGGCATCTCATAATAATAGAATCGACTAAATTGGTAATTTACAATAGCCATAAAATTTAAAGAAGAAAAGGCTGTATTACGCCACATAAATAAGCTGCAAGAAAGGGTTTTATGAAATAGTTTTGTAGTGCATTCGTTCATTAATATGGATTTTGTGCGTCCTAAATCATGTTGGCTTAGTAAGGGATCAGGTGGTGGTACTGTACGTCTGCAGCTATGCGCACAAAACGTCTCCAACCGCTGTCCTATTGCAACATTATTCACTGATAGAAGAGCATCGACTGTCTGGTTTTTCTCGCAAACCTTTCATCACACTGTAGCTCTCCCCAAAAACCCAACTCGCTCATGAGGGATAATTTGATGACACTCCCTCTTTGCCACTGTAATTTTTCACGGAGCCTGACCGCGCCTGCGCCGCTGCTTCCCTTTCCCCAACACGGTTTCACCAATCGTGGCCGTGGCTCCATCCCCGGCTCGGCGGTCCCACAGGCCAGCGCTACAGCTCTACCCACAGCAGCAAGCCCGCTCACCAGCAGCGCTAATAAGTCAATGGTCTATCCGCTAATGGGGAAGTGAGACGCACGTACTGACGCCGCTGTCTGAGGGGGAAGCCGTGAGGAAGTTGTGAAGAAAGAGCTGAGCTGAACCGAGCCGTGCCGGACCAGGACTGCTCTAGATTGCCCGCTGCTGTCTGACTACCCATTGAAAAGGCGCATAGTGATGGAGAGAAAGGTATGGAAGCTTTTTGGTTTCCTTGTCTTTTCCAGGAGCACGTTTAATTCCAGGCATAGCTACTGCGCTGGCTGGTATGCGCATCCACCATTTCAACTATTCTTTATTCTGTAGGCAGCGGGATTAGTGCGCACTGGAGTTTTTCTTGTCTGCTAGCTTGATTTAAGAAATATTATTAAACCGAGACGAATTGAATGTATTCCATGTGTTTTGTATGGGATTTTCCTGAGCTTAGAGACGCATGGTGCTCAATGCCAAAACGAGCAGGTTTATTGGAGATGTATACGGAGTATTTTGGGGCACTGGCTGTTAGTAGGCTATACTGTATCCCTGCATCATCTACCAACGCGGTGCACTGACTGTAGTTCGGGTAGGCTATCCCAGTCTCGCTCTGTCCCTCTCCAACCCTCAGCCACCCACCTCTCCAAGCCTATTTCTTTCTTTATATATTATTCTTTCTCCAAACCGACGCATGCAGACACCAGCGCGGCTTGTTAACCTTGGCTGGTGTGGGAAGCAGACACTTGAGGAGTAATAGAAAGGATGCTAAGGCCGTGAGAGTGCACCAAGTAGCTTTCGGTTCACCCCAGAGCCCCCCTCCCCTCCTTTGGATTCAACTGTCCGCCGGTGCCATTGTGGATAGTCTGACAGTGGATTTAGACTGGAAAAGTTTTGAGTTTCACTGCGTTTGCGTGCAGGCTCCCCAAGGCGGGAATCTGGGCTAGGTCTACTTAAAAGCTGATGCAAAGAAAAAAATATATAGATTCCACATTGGTTAAGTTTATGTTCGTGCAGCTTGGCTTTTTGTGTGTATGTGTGTTATCAAATTGCATCTTTTTGAGTTAAGTTTACATTAGAGTAAGGAATGCACAAGAAATATAAGCCTAATACTTTGAAATTATGTTGCAAACAAGACTGACATTTCAAGGTAAAACTGAGTTCCAATAAAAATATCTGCAAAGTTTGGCTTTTTATTAGCGCCTGTAATCGTGAGCAGCTGGCACCTCAGGGACTACTTTGTGCGACTCTACATTCAAAGAAGTGCAGTGTTTTCACTTTTGTGGTTCACATTATTATTTTTGCTAAAGTTGTTGACATATTTCCAGCCAGAAGCCTTGACTTGGTTAAGCCTGGATTTTAATTTTAATATCCTTCATAGTTGGATGCGAGTCAAAAGTGGTGGAGGTGGTTTTCCATAAATTGATGCAAATTGAAGTTGTCATTCCATTCATTTTTCCAGACTTTTTTCCACCCAGAAATCTTGTATGTTTATTTCCACACTGCACAAATGTTCCACCTACATTTTTCTTCCATTAAGTCGGCAATTGCTCGACTCACACCAGCAGCCAATATAGAGGTGATCATTGTCACTACTTTTGAAGCAATTACTTTTTCAAATAGGCTATCAAAATGTCTTGCATGGGTCTCATCTAGCAGCTGGTGCAAATGGAGTACAGTGTATACAGTATAATAGGAAATATTATCTTCATTTTACAGTATTGATCAGACTGGATTATCAAAATTATCGACAATTAGATAATTAATCGATACTAAAACTAGTACGAAACTAGATTCTCATTTGAGCTGGTATCGATACTAAAAAAAAGTCTTATTGAGAGGACAGAAATTAACCTTTCCTGAATAGTTTTAGAATAATCTTGAGCTGTATCAGAGCAAGTATAAGAGCACATAAAGGAGTATACACCCATGGACCACTATGGAACCTACCTGGACCATTGAGGGATTACACAGATATAAGACCACATGTTAATATAAAAGAAAGTGCTATTGTTTATCGTTGGAAATCACATTCTATTGTCTAAAGAAAGAGCATCTTTTATTATTATTGTGGTATCAGAATCTGCATTGACTATCAAGTCTAATCCTTACTATCAACATTGAAATTTGACTATTGTGACAACATTAGATTAGACATTTCCATTTAAGGCAAGCCAATCCGCAACCCCCTAAACCTACTCATCATATAGCCTAGATGGGACATATCAAGGTCAGCCATGATTTCTAGTCTACAGATAACCCTTCCTAATAAAACTTGGTCCGCACATTTTTTGTTTCCCCACTGTAACGGGCAACCCAATTAAAAGTTCCCAGGCTTTTGTGTTTTGTGTTATAAGCGGGGATAAATGGACAATGGAGAACTTCCTTTTTCAGACGGCGAGGAATGTGCTGCCTCAATAGCGGTTTGTTAAATCCCAAATGGGCTGACAGGGAATATTGAGGTAAAATTATGCATTTTCCTGAAGATTACAGAGCTAGATTAGAAAGGCCATTTGTCAGATTTGGGAGAGAAGGACCACTTGTAAATATGAGAGTTGGGCTATTTTATGCACAGGTAATAATGATACCAATTTAAATAGCTATATTTACCCCCAGCCATTTTGCATTTCTTTTGTCCTTATCTCAAATGTACTTAGTGATAACCATTGCCTGAATAATCTACCCAGCTATATGGACTTTTGCATATACCACCCACAAAAAAAGGCTACTTACTGAGGCTATCGGTGGGTTTCAGATTCTGGATTGTAATGATGTCATACTCCCTGCTGAGACTATTTTTCTTATTGATTACATTGTACTTTGTCATGAAATATGAATTACATTGTACTTTGCCATGAAATATCCAAAAGTTGCCATGAAATATCCAAAAGTTCAATGCCAAGATCTCAGTGTATTGCAACATAACAATATTTATTTTAGTTGAGTTTTGCTGATGTCGTAGTGCTCGATGGGGAGCAGGAGACAGCTTTTCCTATTAATAACATTGTACTTTGCCATGAAATATCTGAAAAGAAACTTCACAAATCTTGAACCTGATCGTTTCTATCAATGACTAGACCCAAGAACTTTATTGCATTACAGCAATTTCATTTAAAATTGAATTGAACAATATAAATTTTTATTCATTTTTGAAATTTAGCAATATTGGATGTCTGGGAGGGCATCTGGCTCAAAACTAATGCCAATGCAATATGAAAAACTACAAGTGAATCACATTATTTGCTGAAGAGAACATTTGCATATCAATATTTTCGTATGGGCAATAGGCCTAAATTGTCGCACTGTTTTTAATGACTTCTTGCTCCAATACATCTTCATATATTTACAGCTTCCATTTTAAAGCTAAATCTCATTTAGTTGTCTATCCGTAAACACTGTTATATTCTCACATTGGTCGTGCTGCACTGTGGCTGCATGTCATTTCCGGATTATAGATTTTTCCACTTTTCAAATGGAGCTCTTTGTAACCTAATTACACAGACTGAGCCCCTGCCCTGCCTATAGCCAAAGATTATATTGTTTTTTAATCACAGCTATCTGACCTAAAGCTCTGCATATTACTCCCATTTATAACCGTCTAATAAGATTTGAGGAGGAGAGAAGGCGGTCTTGGCCCAAGCGGACAATATATGACCCATTTAGATATTGCGTTCTATACTGCGCTTCTGTATACAGCCCTGTGCAGTAAAACTCAATAGCGCCTGCAACTCAGACTTTATCTTCCACTTGCAAATAAATGTTGTGACCTTTTCCGCTGCACACCATTAATTATTCACAACAGGTGCACAACAATGGAAGGGCTGTGAGGAGCAAGGCTTTCTCCTCCACGCTGCATAGATCAGGTCTGTAAACAAGCCCGACAACTTTTGGGTTCACTGGTCACTGTAGCTAGTCTGGTCTTAAAGTTATCTGCCAATTGCTCTTTTGTCTTGTTATTTAAAATGCAATAAAGTTATCAAAAATGAGAAGTAAAATTTTAGTTTGTAAATGTTTAACAAATATCTCACACAAAGCACTATTTATATCATAACTATTACATTGTAAAATGGTAAAACAGCAGATTTTTAGAAAGTTGAAACCCAAAGTTTAGTTAGAATAAGGTATTTGGGGAGTTGGCTTGTGTTACTGTCCTCCAGTCATGCCCTTTAAATGTAACAATGTTTGATACGTCGTGATGGAGAGAGAAATATGTGGAGTATGGTCTACTAAATATAATTTTTCTAAACCATAAGCATCTTACATTTTCTTATAAATTTATTGTTTATTTTAATCCAGTAATCCAGTGGTTCTCAGACTTTTCTTACCAAGTACCAC